TGACAGTCAATGTCAATGGAGTGTCTTTTGGGGATGATAAAAATGTTCTGAAATTAAATAGTGGTGAGTGGTGTATAATATTGTGACTGTACTAAAAATCACTGAGTTATACACTTTGCAAGGGTGAATTTTATGGTATGGGAGTTGTATAGTTCAATAAAGCTATTATTAAAAATAATATCCTCAACTATCTAAAAAAACTTTGCTTTACCAGGCAGTTGTTGGAATCAAGATACAAGATCCAAACAATTCATTTGGTTGATAAATCTCTTAAGTAAAGCTCTTTTAAAAGCCATCTATCTGCCTTCTGTTTTTCATGCCACTGATTTGCTGAAGAAATTCTTTAATTACTACATCAGATTACTGTTTCACTTGGGTTGGAGTTGTAGGACTGCATAATAGTGAATTTCTTTTATTTTAAATGTTCTCTCAGCCCCTTTAACATTCCACTTTCATTCTGGAAGAAATAAGCCTGGTCCCCGTTACAAAAAACTCCCAAGATTTCAAAGACTTAGATTCTCATTAGCCTGCTTCTCTCAGCATCCCCCCCAGTCATCCCCTCGACCTCCCTCGTTGCTGACCTCTGCCTGTTCTCCATTACCCTTCGGCCCAGCCTGGCCTCCCCAGGGTGGCACACAGAATTGCAACTCCAGATGTGGACAGACCAGGGACGTGCCTGTTGGGACGGTTATTTCCCTTGATCTGGACGCCATCCTTCGGTTAATATAAAGTAAGGTCTCGTTAGTTGGTTCATCACCAGCTCCCACTCTTGGCTCATTTTCCCCATGAACTCAACTAAGACACCTAACGTGTGTCTGTATGTGTGTGTCTGTTATGTCATATTAATTTCTTATGTCAGGTTATGTACTTTGCAGTGGGATATCTGAGCCTAAATGCAGGTTTTTATTTTCAGTTGTTTGCATTAAATTTTGTTTTGTTGATTTTTGTCCATCTGTACAGTCTTTAGAGATCTTTTTGAATCGTGAATTTTACGCACTTTACAAATCTGAGAAGCACACTTCTCTGTTGCAAGGTCAGGTACAGAGCCCTAGAGCTCTCCTTTAAAGACCTTCCTTCGCATGTAACATTGATACATAGCCTCTTTGACCTCTTTGGTTTAATCAGCTATAAATCCACTGAACTGTACCGTTACCCAGGCTTCATTCTCCACGTGCTCTACAAAAGAATCATGAAAGACTTTGAGAAATGCCTATCTGAAACCAAGAAACTGTTCATTAATTTCCAGACCCATTTCATTTTTCCTCACCTTTCATTGCAGCTCACTAAACAATAAAGAATGTTCCTTGATCTCGAGAATGAGATGAGTCCCCAGATTTCAAAACTCGATTGTCTTGCTGAAAATTTTGATATCTACATTACTCTGCTCACAAATCCATAATTTCTAATGTTTGAAACATGGTCTTTTAAAAAACAACCATTAAGTTATTTTAAGAGACCTGTGCCTTTATTGATATTTCCCTCTTTTACCTTGTCTGTCTGAGTTTTGTCTTAGCCAGGTGACATTTTGGACAAAATATTCATCAGCTTCAACATTTTCTTTTCAGAAAAATATCTTCTAATTTTTAAAAATTCGTTGAGACTCTATTTAGTTAAGCTCTCCTAACTGTGCCTTATGATAAATATCATGTATATAGTATAGATCTTAAGTGCTTATTCATTTGTACATTCTTTGTAGGAAACAGCATGCTTAAATCTGTACACTACTCTGCAGAAAATCAGAATGCAAAAAGTAGCTGCTGAATACAGCCAGGAAGGCAGTGAACTCAATAAGGTAAGCTGAGAGACCGAGAGACCTCTTTCTGTCAGGTTCTGGAAGAAAATCCCACACTCCCATAGCTTATAAAATGATAGGCATTTTTGGGAGATCCGCAGACTGTGTGGATGGCGGGAGAGTCATTCCTTTCCGTGACTGTGCCCTTGCAGGACCACATTAGGCACTGAATCTGAACAGGCCACATTCAGTGATATGGATGTGGACAGGTGAACTTGATGCTCTGCCGTTTTCACTGTCACTCATCCAAGGACATTTGTGCTCAGGAAAACACCGGCCGGTTTAGTAATGCGAGGAGACGGCAGCACCGCCTCTGCTTGATGAGGTGATCACACTGTAGGAAGACCTCACATTCTCCTTCAGCCATTCCGAATGGAAAGCAGCCAAGCTCTGGACAGCAGCACGTGGTTCGGTGTCTGCTAGACGCAAACATGATCCTGCTTGGAGAATTTTTCTCCTGCTAAAATAGTAAACAAAGCAGTAAATAAAGCAAACATTCTGTAGGACTCCTACGTGGAGAGTGTGGGGAAGGCTGCTCTGTCGGCTGACATTTCAGAAACATCTTCAGCCCGAGGGAAACTTAACAGCTCTTGCATTATTCCGCCCAGTAATGGGTATCTTGTGCTTCGGGGAGACATTCTAACTGTAACCATATTAATGGAGCTCATAACTTTACCAGTAGATTAATGAGGATCTGAAAGATAGGGTAAGTCTGATCTGTTACTGGATAAATGTGATGATTAATGTTTGTGATGTAATAAGGAAGCCCTAATTAGGAAACTACAGGGGACAAACCCCAACAGGCTTTTTCACTTAACCAAAGCTTCCAGCATCTAAGGAAATTTTGAAGTGTCATTTAATAAGCTTTATGGACTCAGGACGTAAAAATCAGAGGAAAGCCTATTGAATGTTGAATAGAGAGTATGCAACATGGCAATCCACCGAGACTTCATAGCTTTCCTTAATCAGAACACATTACTGCAATTTGAGGTTATAATAATAAACTGGCCTATGTTTGTGATGTTTCCAGTGTACTTTATGCTCGGTTCTTTTAAGAATATGGGAAACATACGGCACCATTTTCAAGGGAGTGTTCACCTGCAATCCAATTTTCGCTCTCCTTATAACTTTAAATAAATTCATCCAAAGTGTTAAGGACAGAAACAAACACTCCGCATTCTTTAAAGTGAATTTTCCACCCCCTTTTCTTTGGGCCAATAAAAACATTTCTAAGGTACCAGATCTTAGTAATAGTTTTCCCTACATACATAGCATAATTATGTCAAGTTATTCTTTTGTATTGGAAGAAAATGCTAGAAATAAAAACCTAAAGAGACTTTAAAGCACTATGCACATACATATACAATAAGAGAGGTATTTTCTTACATTTAAAAAATATATGTGAAACAGTCATACAACCTTTTCAATGATGCTGGTAAAAATGCTTTTTTTGCATCCTACTTAGTGGTTTCTGGGGGTTAATGACCAGATTCTAGAGGTTAATGACCATCTGAGGAAGATCAATGAACCAAGGCTTTGTCAGGACTATTAACCTGAACCAATCATTAATTGCTAGAAATGTCTTGGGTCTGGGAGGCTAGCTGTAGTACAAGATTAAGCGTAAGGAAATACAAACTCTTACTACTGTTTTTATGGGCTTCGCCCTTTAATTTGGAATGTACATGGCAATTATTGTTTTGTACATTGGCCAATCAAATGATTTAAATTACCATTCAGTATTCTGCCCAACAGTGCCATAATGAAAGGCCTTGGATTTAAAAAGCAAGTAAAGGCTATTAATTTCTGTCTACTTCTGTTGTTCATGATTTTTATATCCCTTGCCAGAGATGGTCTTGTATTTTCTCTTAGCATCTTTGTATAGGGGTTATTGATCTCTTTAAAAAGTCTCCCCATTTGTCAATAAGTACACTGAAGTACTCAAAATGGTCCAGGACAAAGTCAAGAAGTCTTCTCAAACCACTGCGGTCTGAGCAACCACCTGTATTTTTCAGATCCCAGAGAACTCTGTCTGAATCTTTCAATTTCACATTTATCATTGAAGGCTTTGTATTGAGCAGGGAAGACAGGTGTCTATGAAGTGTCTATTTTGTTGTTAGCATGTGGAAGTCTCTCGAAAACATATATTGATTTGACTGTATAAATGTGAACCGTCTCTTTATTGATATATCTTTACACACAGTAGCTATTCTTACTTTCAAATACTCATGGTTAAACATGTTCAGAACAGTGATGCTTATAACATATTACTAAGTGAAAGAAGGAAGTATGTAAAATAGAAAGGAAAATATTATCAAATTATTTGGATTATTAAACAGTCATACAGCTGTGAAATTACGCAGTTAGGTGTCTCTCTTTTTGAAAAAACTTCCAGGTTCCTTGAAGCACAGATGAGTTGGGAAGCTTTAGGCAAACAAATTAGATACCCTCTAAGCATTCTAGTCTTGCCTTCCACCAGTCACCCTTTCTTATTAACCTCTCACCTTTAAAAGGTGCTGCAGTTGGGGGGAAGTGTGTGGTAGGCTTGGGGGTAAGGAGAGAGTTATAAAACCCAAGTTATATGGAAGAAGGCTGCAGCTGTAACAACCACTTATGTTTATTGTGAGCCTTCCTCAAAGTGTTTTGTAAGCATGGTCTGCTTAATCCTCTAAGATGAGTAGGTGGCAAGACTCTTGATCTTTACTTGACAATTACCTATGATATAAAAAAATTAAATGCCAGCATAAGATCTTCACAGAAAGCAGTTGGATGATGAGAAGGATTAATTGTAATGTATGCCCTCGAGTGCAGTTCACAGCAATCTACACTCCACTCTTGATTTTCAGATGCATTTTTTAGCATCTTCCGACATGCAAGGGTCCCATGTGGTAGGATTCCCAGGAAACTGGTTGTTGTGGTTGCGTTGAAGGGAGAGAAATCTGGCAGCTGAAGGAGGGGGTAGATTTTTTCGTATACTCTTTTGTACCTTTTGGATTTACCTATTCAAAAATTAATTTAAAATTTAAAAAACCCTGCAAAACCTCCTAAAAGCATTTTCAAGAGGGCAAATTCAGTTTGAAGATCTGCTCCCTCGGTGTTTCCCCTCCGTTCTCCAGGAAATTTGGTGGCTGTGCTTTGTCATCCATGTTTCTTTGTAATACTCTGATAGAAATGATTGCAAGGAAATTAGCCTGAAATTTACAGTACATATTAAATGTATAAATTCAGAGCTTTAATAGAAATGAGAAGTGCAGTGTGTTGAAAGATTCTCTGGCTCTCCTTCTCTGTGGATTTATATATTTACTGCACTTTCTTCATCTGGTTGGTGGGTCACACCAAAGACATTTCAGGTCTGTTTACAAACCGCCAAGAGTTTTTAAAAGAGGGAGTAATCTTCCTCCTTTTCCTGATTTCACTTCAACTCCTTGTCAATTTGGTCTCAATTGAATAAAATAGGCATGAGGTCTTAGGCTGACTAGCAATGAAATACACTTGCTCTAAGCGGAAACAAGAAAAGATCTAAGGCAGGGTAAACGATGGGGGAGAGGGAGCGAGAAACATACTTAATGATTGTTCGTATACAATTTTGCACCCACTTCCCGATGTTTGAAATTTATCCCAGTAAATCCCAAGAGTGGCGTTGCTTCCAGACAGACCGTATTTTTCAACCTAGGAAAGAAGAACCCAGGGCAGCGTCCCTCCTGGCCTGTGTGAGTTCCAAAGCAGTCCTTCTCCAACTCCGAAATGCATACAGATCAACCCCAGCCAATGAAAGTGAATAATTTTCTTCTTAAAATGCAGATTCTGGTTCAGCTGGTCTGGGGAAAGGCCGTAGATTTTGCGTTTTAACACATATCCTTGCTGCTGGTCCAGGACGCACACTCTGAGTAGTGAAAGTTTAGACAGAATCTGGGTCTCCTAGAACTGGATTCAGTTGCATGAATTGATTACCCTGGCAGCCACAACTAAGGATGTCTTTTTCTTAGGTGACAAGTCTGGGGACTGGCAGACGAGGGCTGACCAGGTATTTCCATAATGCCATCAGGGATCTCAGATCCTCTGACTGTTTCTGCCTTGCCCTCTTTCTGGGTGATTTTCATTCTCATGCTCGCAATAGAGTGGCTGCCCTTCTGGGTATCACATTCACTTTTTTATGCAGGATGTAGAGTTAATGGAAGAGGACAAAGTGCATATGACAGCTGAGTCTGGCTCTTTCAATCAGGAAAACAGCAGCTTTCTTGGAAGCTGAAATTCTACTTCTCATTGGCCAGACATGTCACATGACTACATGTAGCTTCAAGGGAGCTCTGTAAATAAATTTTTTCAGCCAATCTTATTGTCACCCTGAACAAAATGTTAAGAAAGCAGGAAGGGGCAAATGGATACTGGGTAGGTGTGCTAGACAGAATAATGGCTCCCCAAAGATGTCCCTGTCCTAATACTGAACCCGTGATTATGTGACCTTACATGGAGAACAGTACTTTTTTGCTTATGTGGTTAACTTAAGGCTCTTCAAATATCGTGGATTATTTGGGTGACCCAGTGCAACCATAAGGGTCCTTCAAAGAGGGAGGCAGAAGGGTCAGAGTCAGAGAGGGAGATGTGATGATGGAGGTAGGAGTTGAAGTGTTGTGGGGCCATGAGCCAAGGAAAGTGGGCAACATCTTGAAGTTGAAAAAGGCAAGGAAATGGATTCTCTAGGGTGTCCCAGAGTGCAGCCCTGTGACTGCATTTTGTGTGACTTTGTGTGACCGTGACTTTGATTTTAACCCAGTGAAACCTACTTTGGAATCCTGACCGTCAGAACCATAAGATAAATTTGTGTTGTTTTAAGCCACTAAGTTTAGAGTAATTTGTTACAGCAGCCGTAGGATACTCGTACAGTGGCCAACCAGCATTGTCTGTCCCGGAGCCTGAGCCAGGAGAAGGGGTGAAGAGGCCTGCAGTGAGGAGAGGGAGGGAAGTATGAGAGCACAGTCCTGTGGCAGGGCCATGCCTTGTCA